TTGTGGGGCCTGAACTCTGGTCCTGGGCGCTGCACCTCAGCTCTTCAGCTCAAGGCTAGCGCTCTACCACTTGAACCACAGCGCCACTTCCAGCTTTTTTCTTTTTGCTTGTGGGGTGCTGAGGAATCGAACCCAGGGCCTCATGCATGCAACGCAAGTGCTCTACCACTGAGCCACCTTCCCAGCCCCCAATGCCAGCTTTTTTACCTATTAAATCATCAGGTTGAAACATGATCTCCATATTCTTCAAGTTCAATGTAAGGAACCAGAATTTCAATACACATTTGTCATCAGCTGACTAGATGCCAGCCAACACACAATTGGCCAAACAGATTCCGGTTATTTTCCCAACTCTATGTTTTCATATGTCATGGCATGATAATTTATTTTTCAATTTCCATTCATTGAAATTCATTCAGTATATAGTTTGATGACTTGCCCAATCAATCTCCTCCTTCCACCGGACCCTGTGAAGCACTGATTTTGGTTCCTATGTTTTTATCTTCTCTAATATGGAACGCAATGGAATTACACAGTACATACCTTTGAAATTGGCTTCCCTTCACTTACTTGTAAGGTTCATCCATGTTAATACATATATCAGTAGTTGATTCCCGAGTGTTACCTTGGTTGGGCCTAAAGGATTCTCTTCTTTTTGTCCTTCTAGTTGGTGTGGGTCAGGAGACATGTTCGTGTGAGATCTGGAGAGCAGAAGTGCAGCAGCAGTTGTTGGTGTTTGAACATGTTGTAACTTCTCTACTGGCTCACCTTGCTAAGCTGGGGCAGCTAGCAGAACCACAGCTATTCCCGCCGTCCCTTGGGTCCTCCTGTAGTTTCTCTAATGGCTGGGCCAACTGCGTGTCCACAACACACTTCTCACAGTTCTCCATTGTGAAGCTGGAGACATGAGAAGTATTATGGGTGGCGATCTACATTCAAGGGCTCCATGGTGGAATTGCTGTCTCCCTTCTCACCTGCTGATCCCATACAATTCCAGTTCCGGCATCAGAGGCAAAAACCATAACCTCACAGACACCACTTACCAACTGTAACAACTGCACTGTCAGATCCTTGCAAATCACACACTCACACATGCTCACATTCACACACACACACAAGCCTGTAAATAACCTAGAAGCTCCGCTGCTCTGACTGAACTCTTAATATGAGTCCTTTTGTAGAGTTCCACCGTAAGATGTACAATTTGTTAATCTGTTTACTAGCTGATGGACATTTCATTATTTTCACTTTGAGACTTTGAGTAAAGCTTTTATGAACATTCACACATCAGGTCTTTGTGAGACACATTATTTCAAACATGGAGGAAACATTCACATTTGATTGCCCCTGGAGATAGGAAGAAATGCCATGGTAATCTGATGTTGATATTTTGCATTTTAGGTCTTTGTTATCGTGAGTTAAAAAAACCCAGTAACCATGAGTTTTATGCTTTAAAGGGGTGAACTTTGTAGTGTATAAATTATATCTCAATTTTAAAAAGTAGATGATAATACAACAAAGAGACTGTCAATTTATAATCTAATGCCAAGTTTTATTCACCTTTTTTCTTACAATATGCTGGCATTCAAAATATACCTCATAAGTAACTCATGCATACAATAGGCACTCTAAAATATTATAATTTAATAAGTAGGTATTCTTTAGAATGACTAAAAATACTGATGTAAAATCCCAGTTGAGAAGTGTATAATCCCATAGTAGACAAAATATATAACTTTACAATAAACATTTTTGTAAGAATTAGCCCAAAAGAGGGGACACTTAAACTTTGGAAATTAAAAAATAAAGAGTAAAAAGCAAGATGAAATATACCACTCACATCTTTAGACAATGGTCCCTGGACTGGCGGTGCTTAGACCAAGGGCTGCCTGCACCCATGGTCCTAAGAACAGAATCTTGAGTTAAGAAGATAATTCTGTACCTTCTTAGCTGGAAATGCTGTAGGAAAATGAAAGCAATAGCCTGGGAGATGTTTTAGCTACATGGTTACATGAACACACACAAAAAAAGAAAATAAAAATTAAATAAGTATCTTATTCTCAACTTAAAAAAAAGCAATGCTTTTCATCTTCAGCAGCAAGAACAGTCTATAAGTAAGCATGAAGTCACTTTTACAGAAGCTATGCTAAGTTCTGTGGGAAATGCTTTGGGAGAGATAAAAGAATCTTAGTTCAAATATTAATAGGTCATCCAAGGCTTTACCAAACCAAATGAGGAGACTGTACCACTCATAATGAAGTATCTTCTATTTTGCAACTATGAATTTCACTCCAACTTGAAAAAAATTATAGCACTATTATGACAAGGAAGAGTTAAAAGCAAGCAAATGCTGAAGAAGTAAACAAATACTTTATAGCCAAAAAATAACAATGCCTACTGACTATATTTTTTAATGACATAATTCTATAAAAATTTAAATAATCTAACCAGATCAATACATGGAAATACATATAAAATATTAAGTGAAAAAACAAAATTAGAAATATAAAATGATTATAACTGTGTAAAAGTAAATATATTACAGTAACAAAAATGAAATGGATTTAAATAGATAAGAACAGAAACAGATTCAAATATGAATTAGTGTTTTTTGTTTGTTGTTTAAGATTGTAACAAAAGAAAAAAATAGATTATTATTTTAGGTAAAATTATACTCCTAAACAATAAATATGGAACTATATGTGGACTCCTATAACAGAGATTTTTTAAACCATGACTTATATTTCAAGTGTATCTTATGGCAGGAGATCAGCCCACATTGGCTGATACTCATTTAACTTTGTGGATGACTTGTACATTTTTGATTGCCCTTCTTAAACATTAAAGACAGCATAAAGCACTGTCCCATTAAGAAAACTAAGCAGCATGCTAACAAAATCTAATAATTAGTTTTGCTCCTACAAAAAGCTGACAGATGGCTTTTAAAAAACTAATTCTATATACATATTTTACATAACATATTTATGCTATAAATATTTTTGAAGAATGGCTTTTATATAATTGTTTATTTCAATATATGTCTTATTAGTTTCATTGCTAGTTATGCAAATACCCAGTTTTTCAGATCTGTATTGAAAATTATTCTCTACGAGACTTAGAAAATGGTTAATTTCTTGGATAAAACATAGCATATTTGGAAGTCCGAAAGCCAAGCAAATCCCTTATTTCATTCCGGAACTTGGACAGGTCTTGGCGCAGCTCATTTAGGTTCTCCACAGTGGCCTGATCTGTGCTCTGCATCCTCTGTCTCATGGAGGTCAAATACCGATGCACTAAGCAGCACATCACTTTCTGGTAGTTCTCATCTCTCTTTTGTTTCAAGTTTCTCCATTCCTTCAAAACAGACAATACAGTCATACTAATGACATGCTGCATGTGTATTTATGTGTATAGGTATGTGTGTATATATTTATACATGAATAAATATATACATACATATACAGATATACCTACAGTTTACTTTGCGGGGGCGCAGGTACTGGGCTTTGAACTCAGCACTCGGTTTCACTCAATTTTCTTGCTGACAGCTGGACACTCTGCCACTTATGCCACACTTTCAGTCTGTTTTTTTTGCTGGTTATTTGGGAGACTGAATCTCCTGGATTTTTCTGCCCGTGAGTCTCTGGATCTCAGCCTCCTAAGTAGCGCAGTTCTATAGGTGTGGGCCACCAATGTGTGGCCAATACATTTTGTAAAAAGTCACAGATACAAGTACATCAATTTCCCCTTTCTTTCTTTTCCCTTCCTCCTTCCTTTACTGTTTTTGAAAGAGTCTCTCTATAACCCACACTGGTCTCAAACTCAAGGTTCTGCTACTTTGGCTTCCAGAGCTGCTTAGATTACATATACTATCATATACATATTATCATATACTATCACACTCAGTTCAAACACATCTTTATTAGAGGACAGTTTTGCCATGATGTGGTCTGAAATAATATTCAACACTTGCTTAAAATAAATGTAGGCTGAATATTTAATTAAATCTCCTTTTATGGTTATCTTGATTTTAAAAATTAGTCTTAGGAACCCTCAATTTATCCAGTGATTTGCTGTTCCACAGGGCACATATGGCTCACTATAACCTGTGTGCTGAGAAGGTTTTTACAAATAATGTATGGAATGAATTTTATGATTTAAAAATTTTGAGCCCCAACTAAGCAAAAAATTACCCTACTAAAAATTCTATGATTTTTCACAAGTAGGCCTATATTACAATGAATATTATTCAAGTTACGGTGATAATAAAAGTTCACTGGACTTTTTTCTTTCTTGTCATGTAACTGCCTATCTCTGACTTTTGTTTTGACTTACAAAGTATGGTACATTTACTCCCTGGCCTTTTATAGAAAAAATGTGCCAGTCTCTGGTTTCCAAGCAGTATGTGCTGAATTATCAGTGAACTGCATAGTTTCAAAGAAGAAACAAAAACAGGAACCAAACTTAGCAATAATTTTTTATCTATGGTAAGAGAATAGTATTCTGAATTACTTCCCATGCTTTTAAAATATGAGGTAAAAACTTCACATGCTGGGAAATTTGATAAGCAAAAAAAAAAAAAAAAAAACTTAGTCCTGTGTGTCACTCTGATATTTATTGAATGTTAGGTAGATACAGAGGGGTTCAGAAGTGGGGAAAACATAGCCAGTAAGGAGCTTCAATATTTATGTTTTAAAAAAACATTTGAGTTTAGAAATTGCTCAGACTTTTAGGGTGCATTTCGAAGTTCTAATTCTTACCTTTAAACTGTTTTGCCGCTTGACCTTCCCTTTTGAAGTGTGAGAGCAAATCCACTTACTGAGGCTGCTGATCATGTAGCAGATGGTCTTTGGTGAAGGAATGATGTTGAAGGGTGGCGGAAGTGTACACTTGTCGTCAAAATAGCTAAGCCATAGCTTTGCTCGGGCGAACTTCCATTCCTTGTCTTCATGATTCTGTAAGAGTAAGGGAAGAGCAGGACAGAGTAAGAACGCACATGCGTGAGGGTACACCTACACACACACAAACACACATACACACACACACACACACACACACACACACACGCAGGCAGGAGGAAAAAGGGAGTTAATGTTTAAAACTGTCTAAATGCTCTTTCTATATATTTGGCAGATAAAAAAAACTGGTTCAAGACTTGAAATTATCATACATTTCAAAATCTATATGTAACTTCGAAATGATGGTATTTCTCAGGTCTCATCACCTTTATTTCATGTATTTGATATGATCTGGAAGCACAGAAGGCCTTAGAGAATGGATACTTACTGCTATCAACTGAAAGCTTTTGTGAAGCATGGCGACCAGCAGCTTGGTAAGGACGATGACAACCACAACGTTGTAAGTGCCAACGATCACGGCGCCAACAAAGGACTGCAGCTCTTCTCCATAGCTGAACCTTGTGACAAAGATTGCCACATGGGCTAGGGAGAAAATATACCAGAACAGAGCAAAGCAAGTGCCGATGAACCTGGCAAGACAAGTATACTTCTGTTTAAAATGAAATTGAAGTAACAAGTACCAAACATATATAATTCATTTGATCAAATCATACAAGTGAAGCATTAATCATCCTTGAATAATCCTTTATAAAAATAAATTAGCCAGGCGCCAGTGGCTCACACCTGTAATCCCAGCTACTCAGGAGGCTGAGATCTGAGGATCATGGTTTGAAGCCAGTCTGGGCAGAAAAGTTCATGAGACTCTAATCTCCAATAAACTACTCAGAAAAAGCCAGAAGTGGCGCTGTGGCTCAAGTAGTAGAGCACTAGCCTTGAACACAAAGAGGTCCAGTGACAGCACCTAGGCCCTGAGTTCAAGCCCCAGGAGAGGCAAACATAAATAAATGAAAATAAAAAATATAAATAAATGAAATTAATTCCCAGAGCACTGATATGGCTTGTTTTGAACAAAGAAACAAACTCAAAAGGTCATAAATTATTCCTGTGTTTTACTTCTGTGCTTCCTGTGTAAGCACAGCAGCCTAGGTGGTAGCTAGTTTAGGTTTTGTCACTCTTCCACTCAAATACTTAAATTGCTTTCAATCACAATTTAACCCCAAATCCTTCTGGGAGGTAACAAGATTCCATGACCCTCCTCTCCTGCCTGTCCTTCTCCCTTCCGATTCACCATGTTTCCTTCCCACTGGCTTTGTCTTGAACAGGCCAGTTGGGCTCCCACCGTTGGAAGGTGGCTCTCCAAGTTCCTTCTGCTTGTGATTATTCATTCTTCAGTCCCCTCCTTCATGGCCAGTTCCTTCACCAGCTTTCCCTGAATCTCACACAACTGGAACCTCTCACAAACAAGCTCCTTAGCCCAAGCTTGAGCTGTCCTTTCAGCCCTTACATTAATATGTATTTGATTAAATCTTTTCACTGCATGTGTCCCAATGTAAGCTCCACTAAGATCATTCTGCTCACAAAGACTTCAGTCATTTGGGACATTCAACTGTGTTAAATGAACACAAACCCATCAAATCTTATAATTTTTTTTGTTGATCATGAGGCTTGAACTCTGGGCCTGGGCGCTGTCCCTCAGCTCTTCAGCTCAAGGTAAGCGTTCTACCACTTGAGCCACAGCACCACTTTCAGTTTTCATGGTTTATTGGAGATAAGAGTCTCATGGATTTTCCTGCCTGAGCTGGCTTTGAACCTCGATCCTCAGATATCAGCCTCCTGAGTAGCTAAGGTTACAGGCACGAGCCACCACAGCCCAGCCAAAGTAAAGTTTTGAAAGAAAAATTGAAGCTCTTGTTTCTGTAGTCACTAATTCATAGAGAATTTGGCACAGAAATATATTTAGTAGAAATACTTTGAAAGACACTCACGAATGGAAAGTATCATTGCTTTGCTGTTCACAAAAGATGCCCACACAGTCCTTCTGTTCTTTTGGTGTGTAGCCTTTATCATAGAGTTGTGTCAGTCCAATTGTGAAGGAAAACAAAACGAGAAGGAACATCCCGAGAAATTTTCCAAAATCTTGCAACATTTGTCCCATAGAAATCTGTGGAATGTATTACATAGGGGAGCTGATAGTAACATTATTGGAAACCTGATATTACATCTGAGATTACCCATCAGTACAAGGAAGACAAACACACATTCCACAGGCCATCTCCTTTATTCCACTGGCTGAGGAACTTCAACACCTTGAGAACATGGAAAATCAAGCTGCTTCACAGCACATCATTCTAGCAAGGCCAGCACTGAGTGCTAGATGGTACCATCCTTGAATGTGGACCATGCCTATGGAGACGTTGCTGCTGTGGGGGTGGAGGCAGAGACATACGTATGGAGATGTGTGTGTATGTACTGACAGGGTCTCACTGGATGACTCAGGATAGCTTCAACCTTGAGATCCTCCTGCCTCAGCCTCCCAAGAGCTGAGATTACAGGCTAGGTCAATCATGTCTGTTTAATGCCATGCTATTTGAATGGGGCTTGAATAGTATGATTTTAGTCTGCTGTGTGCCAGAAAAGCTACACAACCATTTATAAATAAATAAAAAATACTGAGGTGTTACAAAGATCACATCTTTGATCTGTTGGTATTATTTCTAGAGTCTTATCCATAGGAAATAATCTATCAGAGCCAAATTGTCTCATATACAGTATTACACAGAAGAGTAAAAACAATCTATACATATTTGGTGGGGAAAAGCTTGATATCATAAGGCTCATTATGTTGTGCTGACAATAAGGAACAGTAATGATCACAATTTCTACTCATTCTATTCCCAACCTTCCAGAATAAAAGTTCTATCTTTGTAAGCAACACATGCTCAAAATTCAGGTCAACATACGTATATCTACATAAATATCTACATAAAGGGGCTGGGAAGGTGGCTCAGTGGTAGAGCACTTGCCTTGCATGCTTGAGGCCCTGGGTTCAATTCCTCAGCACCACATAAGCAAAAAGAAAAAAGCCGGAAGTGGCGCTGTGGCTCAAGTTGGTAGAGCGCTAGCCTTGAGCTGAAGAGCTGAGGGACAGTGCCCAGGCCCAGAGTTCAGGCCCCACGACCGGACCCCCCCCCAAAAAAAATCAGTATCTGCATAAAATCCTCAATAAAATGCCATCAAACCAAACTCAATAGCACATTAAGAAACTCATGCAGCTGGGCATTGGTGGCTCACACCTGTAATCCTAGCTACTCAGGAGGCTGAGATCTGAAGATCATGGTTCAAAGCCAGCCAGGAAAGTCTGTGAGACTCTTATCTCCAATAAACCACCCAGAAAACCGGAAGTGGTACTGTGGTACAGTGCTAGCCTTGAGTTGAAGAGCTAAGGGGAAGCACTCAGGCCCAGAGTTTAAGTCCCACACCGACAAAAAGAAAAAAAAAAAAAAAGCACATACAGTGACCAGACCTGGTTGCACATGCCTGTAATTCCAGGAAGTTGGAAGAAAGAGATTGGGAGGATTATGGTTTGAGGCCAATCCAGGCAAAAGGTTTAGTGAGAGAGGAGGCTAATGGGCCACAACTTTAAATAAAGTCTGAATTCCTAAAAGCAAGGCATTATTATTATTATTAGAAGCAAAGCGGGTGAAAAGCTTTATCCTTCTAATTGTTCATTGTTTAGTCTTCACATCATGACAGAACAGAGTTCAATGGATAAGTAGAGAGATGTAATATTAATGGCATATAATGATAAGTGATGTTTAAGAAAGTTTTAGGTGTTTACCTGTAAGGGACCCAGGACAGAGCTGGTGGTATACATAAAAAACAGACGGAGATAACTCAGCACATTTGCAAAGGCAAACAGCCCTTCTGCCACCAGGGTCGGATGGAAGGCATCCCAGTCCTTGCGATCAGCGAAGTCGTGAAACTGCAGTCAGGAAGAAAAGCCACACAGCATGGTTGAATTTAGGACAACAGAAAGAAATGTTCCCATCTCTCGGACAGAAAGCTATTTTTCCTTGTGTTTCCTTGTGGAGGATCACCATAAACTCTTCAGGACCTTCTCTCACCTAACAGAAGCACCGTTTGATCTGAACAAAAGACTTGTGAGGATGGCCGGAAACACCACCTCTATGACATGTACAGATTCTGCAAAAATTCTTAGGCTATAAAAAGTTCGTTTTTCTAAATTGTCAGTAGCTTTTTTTTAAGAAATAAAATGTTTTCTAGTTTTCCTAAATCCTACAACGTAAAATTTAAAGCATGTATGTTGTCAATAGTCAGCTGGCATATTGAATAAACCTAGTCCTTTGAACCAGGATTTTAGAATCAACTACAGAAGTTTCATATGCGTGCACTCGTCAACACACACACACACACACACACACACACAGAGTGCATTAGTACAACTGGACATAGAGAATCTACACGTTAACTGCTTAGATCACAGACCAGTTGGTTATGAAGCATATTTACCAATTGTCCTGAAATAATTAATGGTATACTGTTGCTTTCAAATGTCCTATATTAGATAACAAATTATAAGACCTTGCCCCCTAGACTACAGAAGTCTAGAAAAGCAGTATCATTCAATCTCTCTATCAATTCACAATCTATGACCAATTTTTATCTTCTTAGTAATTTCATAACTCTAATCATTAAATGTATCCAAACATAATGTTGCATAACACTAATAAATTAATGGAGTAGATTTTTAAATAAACCAAATTGATGTAAGAGAATCATTTTGCTTTTTCTATAACCTATAAATTACTCAAAAAGTAGAGAATATAATGTATTTTACTTCCTTGAATGTGACACACTGAAAAAATTCCAAACTACCCATCTAAACAAAGCTAGCTAGGGGCTGGGAAGTTGGCTCAGTGGTAGAGAGCTTGCCTTGTATGCCTGAGGCCCTGGGTTTGATTCCTCAGCACCACATAAGCAAAAAGAAAAAAGCCGGAAGTGGCGCTGTGGCTCAAGTGGTAGGGCACTAGCCTTGAGCTGAAGAGCTGAGGGACAGTGCCCAGGCCCAGGGTTCAGGCCCCACGACCGGACCAAAAAAAAAAAAACAAAAAAAAAAAAGCTAGCTAACAAACATAAAATCTATTCTCCTTCTAGCCTTGGAAAAGTGTATTTTTTTTTTTTTTGCCAGTACTGAGGTTTGAACTCAGGGCCCTACCTCCAATCCTATTAGCTTTAGTTAGTTATCAGATAATCTTGCTTTTTTGCCTAGAATGACTTCAGATTACAATCATTCTACATATCTGGAATTATAGATATGTACTACCACATGCAGCACGTTTGCTGGGGTAGGGTCTCACGAACTTTTTACCAAGGCTGGCCTGGTCATCCCAATCTCTATCTTCCCATAGCTGGGATTATAATCATGAGCCACCTTACCTGATGAAAGTAAAACTGTAGTAAAAAAGTAAAATAGATTTTTGTAAAATTCTGAATAAAATATATATAGTCATCTGAAAAATTTAACAAATATTAAATATTTAATATACATTTAATTAATAAATTATATTTATACTAGTTTTAAGCTTAAAAATATAAAAATTGTGACAGAATATATAAAATACTATAATACCATTATATAGTATTGTGAAATAAACTCTTTTTCAGATTAATATAAAGGTACCATTTAATCATTTAAGTAAACACAGGTGAATGGACTAAATATAACAAACTGGCAGTTACTAGGAAGAAAATGTCTAGATAGATCTGTATTTAAATCCAGGCTTTTTTTTTTGTTATTTTACTGTGTGGACAAAGACATGTTATTAATATCTCTGGGTTTCATTCTCCTTATTTGCAAAATGAGGGTAAGGATTCTTTCTCTCAGAATCTAAGTTGAAAAAACATTAAAGGATCTCAAATACTAACTATAGTACTTACTATCATAGAGTAGCTCCCATCATTCAAAGGGAAATGCTTAAATTATTGAAAGGAATTCATATGCTGGCAAATGGTTTTTAAGTGAAAATATACCAGACACAGATCTGGACCTATGTCCAAATAGCTGAATACCTTACACTATTTTTTAATAAATGTATACCTTTAACCAACACAATAAATAGTCACCTTGTTGTGAGCTACCACCTTGAGAGCAAAGGTGGCCAAATACAGGGAATTCATGACAAAGCTGAGCTGATTTCGAGATTCTTCTAGAAAGTCTTCCAATCCTTCATACCAGAGTCTTTTAATGTCTGACCAAATCATCCCTGAAAAAGAAAAAACTCAGATAGCAGTTTCTTAATTTAATAATAAGCTAAATATTACTTTAAGATTCAGTACTAAGTAGATAATACTTGGGCTCGCCATAGCTTTATTAAAAAAAAAGAAAAGAAAAGAAAGGAAAAAAAGAACTTTTAAAATAAAAAGTTCTTAAAATTTGACCCTTGTACCAGTAGCTCATGCCTGTAATCCTAGCTACACCAGGAGCTGAGATGTGAGGATGGAGGTTTGAAGCAAACCTAGGCAGGAAAGGCTGTGAGCATCTTATCTCCAATTAACCATCAAAAAGCCAGAAGTGAAGCTGTGACTCAAGTAAGTAGAGCACTTGCCTTGAGCACAAAGCTCAGGGACAGTGCCCCAGCCCAGAGGTCAAGCCCCAGAACACACACATAGACACACACACAAAAGTTCTTAAAACTCAAAAGAAAATAACTCAAGGCTTCATATTTGCCAGAGAATGTTAAATGAATGTTTCTTAGCAAGCTAAGAAAACAAGTAAAATGATGCCAAACACACACACACACTCTTCACTATTTGCACTATTTTAGTGATCTTATCTAATTTAATGGCTTTAAATATGTATTTGTTAAGATTGCAAATTTGTATACTTAAACTCACCTCATATTTACAAAATAATTTATATCTATGAGACTCTCTCCTGAACTCAAATAAGTCATTCACTGCTTCTCAACTCCAATTGGAGTTATGTCCAAACTGAACTCCTATCTCTGTCCCAAACTGCAGATTTCCCATCTCAGATGAGGACAACTCTAGCTTCTGGCTGCCTAATCCAATGTCCTTGAATCATCCTTGACTCCTATATTTGTTATAAAAGAAAACTCACTGGGATTATTTCCAAATATATTTAGATTTAATTCTCCTCACAGCCACTTCAATTTTAAGCTACCACTTTCTCCTGCTTAGACTCCTGAAACAGCTAGCTAGTCTTCAGTTTCTAGGCTTATCTCCTTAAAATCTATTTTCAATACAGTTTCCAGAGTGATTCTCTTGAAATTCAAGTGTCTATTGTTTCACTGACAATCTTCTACTTCGAGGGAATAATTCAAAAGCAAGAATCTTTGTTTTATTGTCAGATATTCTATACATGTCCTGAGAATATAGAATATTTTAAAAAAAGTTCTAAGCGAATAAATACACAAAAATAAAACCAAATCAACAACCAGCTAAACAAGCAAATGCTTCCTTTTTGTCTAGCAACAAAAATGCAAGAAATAGAACACTAGTAGCAAGGAATGGTTTAATTTCTTTAGCTTGGTTTAGACATGTACCTATCATTTTTACTGTTTCTACCTAACTTTTTTGATAGTATAATTTTGTTGTTATTATTAAGGTGTTATTCAGAGGAGTTACCATTTCATAAGTCAGGTAATGAGTACATTTCTTTTTTTGGACAATGTGATCTCTTTCTTTCTATCTAAGTAGTAACACATCATGGATTGAATAGTGTTTAAAGGAGAAGTCTGACTAAAATCTGGTTACCTGAAATGAACTAATTTTCATGTTAATTACAACATATAAAGACTTCTTTGCAGCTGAAGGAGAACTAAAACTGGACATTATAAGACAATTATTCTTTAATTATTTAATAATTAAAATAATTAAGAATACAACATAATCTCAAGATAAAACAATCAATACTTTATATAAAAGGAAAAACTAAATTTTAATATTCTCCTTTGTAAAAATAGTAAGTATTCAATTCTTAGATTAAAAACAAAGTTGAAGCCAGGCACCAGTGGCTCATGCCTGTAATCCTAGTTACTTAGGAGGCTGAGATCTGAGGATCACAGTTCAAAGCCATCCTGGGCAGGAAAGTCTGTAAGACTCTTATGTTCAATAAAAACCACTAGAAAACCAGAAGTGGCATTGTAGCTCAAGCGGTAGGGTGCGTGCCTTGAACTGAATTGCTGAGGGACAGCACTCAGGCCCAGAGTTCAAGCCCCATGACCAACAACAAAAAAAAAAGTTGAAGATACATAGTGAAATAAAGGAAATGTTATTAAAAGATCATAAACAGATAAAGTAGCTGTACACAGTTACTCCTCTTGGGGCAGGGGGAAGCAAGGATAGTTATTAACCTGCGGAGGATTATTTAAGATACTTATTATTCAACATAATAGTTTTTAGGGAAATAAAATGTTTTAATCATTTAAGAATGTATTATTTCTAAATCAATCTGGTTTTTATTACAAATACCTGATTTATTGAATGAGTCACATGGGAACCCCCTTTGATAAAAATTTATTTTATTTATTTATTTTTTAATTAAATTTAATTTTTTTATTGTGAAAATACTGTACAGAGGGGTTACAATTACATGGGCAAGGTAATGAGCACATTTCTTATCAAGCATTGTAGCCTCCTCCTTTGTTTCCCCTTCCCATCCTCCCTCCCCACCCCCGCCATCCCCCAATCCTTCCCGTTTTGATAAAAATTTAAATAATATTTCAAGGAGGCATGGCTCAAGTAGTAGAATGGTTGCCTAGCAACCTCAGTAGCCTGAGTTTAAACCCAAATAGTGCCAAAAAAAGAAGAAAGAAAAGAAAAACTTTCTATAATTGAAAATAAGATGTAATTATAAAAGTCCCTAAGTTCCTAACAGGAAAACTAATGATGTAATGAAACAAAATATTCAACCTACAAAATGTGTAGGAGCATTATTTTTTTTTTTTTTTGCCAGTCCTGGGGTTTGAACTTAGGGCCTGGGCACTGTCCCTGAGCTTCTTTTGCTCAAGACTAGCACTCTACCACTTGAGCCACAGTGCCACTTCTGGGTTTTCTGCTTATGTGGTACTGAGGAATTGAACCCAAGGCTTCATGCTTGAGTGCTTACTCTACAACTAAGCCACCTTCCCAGTCCAATATATTAAGTTTTTTAATACCAAAAAAAAAAATCTATACTCTTATACCAAACAGCACTTACTGGTAAAAGGTATTATTTTTTTGTTTAACAAACGTGAATAGTTTCATAGTATAAAAATAAAAGTTCTTTTAATGCCGGGCGCCAGTGGCTCACGCCTGTAATCCTAGCTACTCAGGAGGCTGAGATCTGAGAATCTCGGTTCAAAGCCAGCCCGGGCAGGAAAGACCTTGAGACTCCTGTCTTCAATAAACCACTAGAAAACCGGAAGTGGCGCTGTAGCTCAAGTGGTAGCTCGCCTTCAGCTGAAGAGCTGAGGGACAGCACCCAGGCCCAGAGTTCAAGCCCCATGACTGACAAAAAAAAAGTTCTTTTAACTTCCATATATTTAAATAATGTTAAATTATCCATCAAGTTCAGGGACATTTATCTTTGTAAAAGTGTTAGTCAAATCATCAGTGACTATAAAACTGTTTAAATTCTTGGTGTGCAAACTGTAAAACTGCAAGCTGAACTCAATGTTCACAATGCCATCAAGCCAGGGGGAGATAATAGGCTCAGTAAAGGTAGATTATCTCTTTGTTGCTTTGTATATCCCTCCCCCACAGTATAACCCTGCTTTCTCTATATTTGATGTCAGTATAACTTGTGGAGGAGATGGGGAAAAACCAGTTGTTTAAGGATACAGGTGGACCTGTTGCAACAATGAGAAGTACAAGTTGTCATGTCCAAAACGAGCTTTACAATGTCGGTGGGGGGGGGGAAAGGGGGGGGAAGGAGAAGGATTGGGATTGGGGGGAGCGGGGGGAGGCTGGGAAGGGATGTGAAGGGTAAACAAAGGAGGAGGCTGCAATGCTTGGTAAGAAATGTACGCATTATCCTGCCCATGTAATTGTAACCCCTCTGTACAGTATGTTCACAAATAAAATTAAATTAAAAAAAAAGTTAAAATCCAGGTAACGTGATACTCACCAATAATCCACAGAATAAGAAGGTAGTCTATTCTTTCAAGGGCTGGCCCCATTGTGTTTTTCTTATCCTCATTGTAGACAAGAGAGTACAGATTTAATAACAGCAGGAATGTGAAGTACGAGGCTCCATGAATAATAAATTTCATAAAAGGAGTGTGGATGATTCTTCCAAATTGAGATTTGGGAGCTATCAAATAACACAATGATAAAACTGGCCAAAAGATGCCAACCATTAAGACAGTCATTATCTTCTTACAGGTGGGCTTACGACGATAACCCGACATTTGTCCAAACCAAACTGTGTTCAGGAACTGCTGGCAGTTGGACTGGGAGACAAACTGCAAAGGACACACATGGACATCAAAAGTGAAAAAACAGAGCTGGGTCCAGTGGCTCACGCCTGTAATTCTAGCTACGTGGTATGCTGAGAGCTGAGGATCATGGTTTGAAGCCAATCCAGGCGAGAAAGTCCATGAGACTCTTATCTCCAATTTACCACCAAAAATCCAAAAGTGGAGCTATGGCTCAAGGGCAGGAAAGCTAGCCTTGAGCACACACACTCAGGGACAATGCCCAGGTCCTGAGTTCAAGCACCAGGACTGGCTAAATAAATAAATAGAATCTTTAAATAGTAACTCATTATTCAACTTTTTAATAATAGTTTAGAAGATTCTATAAAGTGAATATCAGAAAACCAGAGAATCAGATTCAACTTTGTGATATCATGAGCCTCTTCATCTTTGAGTTCACAATGAATTTGAGTAAGAAGAATAAGGAAATACAGCATATTTATATTTCATTTTTAAACAGAAGTAACTACTTATATAGGAAGGGTGATTTACAAATGAACCCAATATCAGATGAGACACAAGATAGAAACTTCATTTATAAAGGCTTATCTGTGTAGTTACTATTTAGCAAGATCCATATTATTTCATTATATCGAACAGTAATTATTAAATATAATAGCAACTGACATGTATTGAGTACTTAAGCAACACAGATGCAAACATTCCTCTCATTTATTCTTTGTATTTACTGTGTGCTTGCATTAAGTACTCAATAAGTGGCAGTACTCATGGTTTCATGTTCAAACATTTTTTTGAGACAAGGTCTCACTATGTAGCTCAGGCTGGCCTTATTGCACAAGATCCTCCTACCTTTTCCTTCCAAGGTCTAAGATTTCAGGTGTGCACCACATTTGGCTTAAATACATATTAGTGCTTAAAACTAAAGCTCAGACTCAGTGAGTCCCACAAGGACACACAACTTTTATGAAGCACAAGTAGAATCCCAATCTAGACATGTTCCAAAACCTTTGCTCGGAGCCACTAGACCAGAGTGAAGAAACAAACTTAAATACAGAACCTCCTACCTCCTTTTGGTTATATTTGATAGCCAGTTTTAGACGGCTTAAATTCATTCTTTCTTCTAGCAGTCCCCGTTTATCAAGAGGTTCATCACTAGATGTATGGTTTAGGATGACTTCCAATTCACGTGAATTCCGGGCTTGTGCAAGCAAATCTTTAGCAAACATTTTACATTGTCGAGCTAGTTCCTCATAATCGTTCCTGCAAAATGCAGTGGTCTATTAGAAATATCATGTCTATCTTCTAATAACATTATTTCACTAGAATTTGTAAAGGCAGCAACATTTTAATTTTGATAAGTCTGTACAAAATATGAAGTCTTTTTCTGTTGACAGTCAAAAGACTTCCATACTGATGTAAAATCTTCCAAAACTTTAGGGAAACCTTAACACAATCAGGTCTGGTGTTCTTACTGATGTTCATGCTGATAACCTTGAAAGATCATATATTCAATTCCTAGAAATCTCAGTAAGTTTATACCGGTAACTAGTTCTTAGTTTAACTCATTTATTCTTATTCTCTGTATGCTTAGCTAAAATTTCCTTTTAATATTACTCATGTAAACAATAAAAATAATTCTGAATGCTATATAATCAATGCTAAGTAAGTTACCTAGGGTAAATTCAATGATAGTCTACAATATATTTAAATATTAATATTAAAAGCATTTGAGCTGGGTACAGGTGGCTCACACCTGTAATCCTAGCTACTCAGGAGGCTGAGATCTGAGGATCACGGTTCAAAGCCAGCTTGGGCAGGGCAGGAAAGCCCGTGAGACTCTTATCTCCAATGAACCACCAGAAAACTGGAAGTGGTGCTGTAGCTCAAGTGGTAGAGCACTAGCCTTGAGCTAAAGAACTCAGGGACAGCACTCAGGCCCACAGTTCAAGCCCCATGACCAACAACAACAAAAAAACCCCAAACATTTGATTCATATTTAAAATGCTCATTTGAGTAACATTCAAGTGAAAAAGAAAACTACTAAATGTACCTACTACTAAGTCATAATGAATCATATGGCTTTAATCATACTGTGCTCTTAGAATTGCATATTACAAACAGGCCTAATTTAATTTGTGAGAATGAAGTCTTAGCACAAAATTCTTCTTTAAAATATCAATTACAAGCACCGGTGGTTCTTGCCTGTAATCCTAGGTACTCAGGAGACTGAAATCTGAGGATCATGGTTTGAAGCCAGCCTGGGCAGAAAAGTCTCCATGAGACTTTTATCTCTAATTAACCACTCAAAAACCAGAAGTGGAGCTGTGGCTCAAAATGCGAGAGCACTAGCCTTGAGCAAAAGAGCTCAGGGACAGAGCCCAGGGCCTGAATTCAAGCCGTACAACAGAAAAAAATTAATTAAAAAATAAAATAAATAATCAATTACATTAAAATTGATGTGTCTGTTTAATGAAAACTTAAAAATTAGGTTAGAAACAAATAGTCATGACTATGTGGATGGAATTCAGAAAATAATTTCTATTGTTCCTCTCCCCAAGGATAAAGAAGACAAAACAGACTTTCTATTGCTTAGTCTTTTGATACAACAGAACTTCCCAGGAAGTGCTGGTAGAAAACTATAATCCAAAGAATAAAAGCTTCTTTGGAGGTAAATGTTTCTCTCATTAATTCTTTGCATTTACTATGTATCCTGAGAAAAACTGATTTTCTTAACAAATAGAGTATTATTCATTTCTTGGCTCGGAGACCTAATTACAGAAGGAGACAATCACCTATAGTGTGTATTGTATAAAGGCATCTCATCTTTTGGTAAACACTTAACAGATAATTAGATTTAAGGGTAAAAGTAATATGTTTTATTAGTGTAATTTGCTTCATCTCTACTAGATTATTGGGAGACAAACAAGTGGTTGCACAGTTCAGATGAAGACAGATTAGAAGTCAGGAGTCCTATGTTGTAGTTATAATTTGCTCTACTTCAGTTTCTGCTCTGTTACTAATTTGATGCTGATATTAGTAAAACATCTAGTCTTCATAGATCTGTCTATAAAAACACTGATGACCATTTCTAAATTAATTTAATTAACCTACGATTATAACATAACAGAGTACTTGCTTCAAATCTTTTTTGGAATAATTGGGTGGATTCTATGTTATACTGTAAATCTCAAAAGTATAAGATTACAATAAAAATTTCTACATATTTAAACAAGGTGGTAATGAAGTTAGAGGTAGAAAAAAAGTTACATTTTCACCATGTTTTATGGGAAGTCACAAAAGTATGTACCTATGTCATATCAAGATTAAATCAAATTCAGTGTATCCAGATTTAAAGGATAATTCTAAACTTGCAAAAATTATACACAAGCTATTAAGAAGCCACTCTACACTGCTGCTATTAAGGCTGAAGAAAACTGCAGGTCTCTTGTCTCCTTCCAGGAGGTAGTAGTCTGAACTTCCTGTCTTATCAAGTCCCAAAAGGGACCACATGGAATGAGAAGCTCCAACAAGAATTGGATGTGAAGGAAAAGGCCAGTGAGCAGAAGAACTTGCCAGAAACCCTGACCTAGGGATTCGTTAGGAATCTTTAATCACCTCTTTCTTTGGAGAGTACCAGAGATACTCTGCCATAAAGGAAAATCTCAGTTCACCAATGGCGTGACCCTGGTTATAAAAGGGCAGGGGTACATAGGGAAAGGGGTGAATAGCACTAGGATCTGTTCCTTTGAGGGAAAATGCCATGGAAGTAGCAGCAAGCTGTGGTCATCTTCTATCCAATGTAAATAAATGTAAATTATAATTCTGTTTATGAAGAAATGCAATGGGAAAAATAAAAACAACAGACCTTATAGAATTTCCAGTTTCCATTTATTCATACCTGAATTCCACCTCCACAAGACTGAGCTCCTTTAAGTCAGCACTAAGCTCAAATGCTCTCAGAATTGGATCTTCTTCTGTTAGCATTATCAGAGCTGGACTGGCCAAACATCTGTATATATCAAGACGAAACCTATAATGACATCGGATTAAGTAAGAAAATCTTATACACACATTATTAGAGTTTTAACCTAAAGTGTTTATAATCTTATGAAGTATTATAAAATTAAGAGGAAGTAACAAGGAGAATACATATAAGAATAGCTATTATAAGATGACATTCATAAATGGAGAAACATTTAAAAATTTAAATAAAAATCTCCATGAAAGGAGAAATATTTAAAAATTAAATAATCTGAACTACAACTATTGGAGAAAACCGCATCTATGACTTTAAAGAAATTTAATGTTATTATAAAGGTGATGGACAGAGAGGTTATAATTATATAAGTCAAGTAAAGAGTGCATCTACTACTTTAAAAAATTGTTTTATTGTCTTTCTTCATCGACTCACAATTCCTTGGTAGCCCACTCCTATAACCTCAACACTCAGGAAACTGAGAGAAAAGGACCCCAAATTCCAGGACGGCCTGGAGCTACATAGTAAGATCCTTTCTCATAAAAAGAAATAAAAGGGCTGGGAATGTGGCTTAGTGGTAGAGTGCTTGCCTAGCATGCATGAAGTCCTGGGTTTGATTCTTCAGTACCACATAAACAGAAAAAGCCAGAAGTAGCACAAGTGGTTTAAGTGATAGAGTGCTAAGCCTTGAGCCAAAGAAGATCAGGGACAGTGCCCAGGCCCTGAGTTCAAGTTCCAGGACTGGCAAAAAAAAAAAAAGAAAAGAAAAAAGAAAAGAAAGACCAGGCACCAGTGGCTTACACCTGTAATCCTAGCTACTCAGGAGGCTGAGATCTTAAGATCATGGTTCAAAGGAGGCCCATGAAAACAAATCTTAAGAAATTCTTATCTCCAATTAACCACTAAAAGCCACAAGTGGAGATGTGGCTCAAGTGGTAAGAGTGCTAGCCTTGAGCACAGAAGTTTAAGACAGTACCCAGGCCCAGAGTTCAAGCCCCA